CCAGGATCCTGGCCCTCTTTCCCTGTTTCCTGTTCCCAGAACACGGGGAGGGGGTCACGTGCCAGATCCATCTGCCTTGCCTTCCGGGGATTCTCCCGTCTGTGGCTTCTCTGGTGATGTCATTCGTTAACTCTTCCCTCCCTGAGGCAGCCCCATTGTAAGGCTGTCCCGGTGGGAGTGGGCTCCTCTGAGGCCTGACCCACCACTCCCTTTGAGCAGACTGTGCTGTTTGGTATTCTGAGGTTGGAGGAGTCAGGGGGCACCCGTCCAACAGTTATTCTGGGGTCTCATAATCTGCCGGGACCGGAGAGAGCAGCTAGCTGGCCCATGCTTACGCGCCCTGAGACTGGCTGGCCCCAGGCTCCATAGGACCTAGGTGGGATCTGGGGTCAATTCAGCCCTGGAGTGGCCGGGCCAGGAGGGTGACCAGCAGCCCCTCTTTCTGTCCTCAGGGACTTGATGACCTTCTCTCCCTGGGGCCACAGCAGCCAGCCGCCATCATAGCCGACTGGGCCTCTCTCTGATGGGAGTGGTGGTGGGTGCTGGGCGGCTCTGGAGTCAGCTGGACCTGGGTCCCAGTCCCACACCCTCTGCCCAGGGGGCATCGGCCTTTGCCAGCTTCTATTTCCTGCATGTCTGAGGAGCGTAGGACAGCGAGTGGGCTGAGGGGAGCGGGTGGCCTAAGCCGAGTGGCCCCTTCTCACTGCAGACCCTCACAGAGAGGTGCGTGGGGCTGGGGACGCTGTGGCTTGGCGGGCCTGCAGCCACCTGTGTTCCTGTTGCAGGGCTACTATTGACGAGGTGGAAACAGACGTGGTGGAGATCGAGGCAAAACTAGACAAGGTGAAGGCGGGGCCCAGGGGTGAATGGAGGGTCCTGGGCTGCTCTCTCTGCCCCCGTGCCTGACCCTGACCTGGCTCACACACAGGCTCGTGTATGAGTGTGTGTGTCTGTGTGCGTGTGTGATCAGGGCTCGGCCCCTCCCTCTGGGTTTGTGCCTCGTTCTCCCCGGCTGTACCCTACCTATCATACCTGTCCCAGGGGGCGCGTGCGGCACACGTGTGTCTCCTGTCAAGAGGGGGTAGGCCTTGGTGAGTCCCCCGCTGCCATCTTTTGGGCGAGGGGTGGGGATTGTTACTAGGGACGGGGTGGGGAGGGTGCTATTGAGTGGCTGGGTTGGGGGCCCGAGGGCAGGGGCAGGGGAGGAGAAGAGGGAGGAGGGAGGGGTAGCATCCCTGAGCACCCTCACTGGCTGGTCCTGCCAGCCCCCTGGCTAGGACCACATGCCCACCTGGGCCCTGGGTTCCCCAGTCTGGGCTTCGCTGTCCTGCTCCAGCCTTCTGCTCTGGAGCCAAGACCCACCCGCCACCTTGCTGCCCTCCCGGCTCCAGGTGGGTCACAGGGAGGGCTGGCTCACACGGCTGCGTCCCGGGCCCCGATGGGCCCTGGGGGGCTCCCGCCTCTGTGGCCTGATCTCTTGGAGGAGGCGAGGGCCGCCCCTTGCAGGCCATGAGAATGTGGCTCCTTCCGTCATCCGTAGCTGGTCAAGCTGTGCAGTGGCATGATCGAAGCTGGCAAGGCCTATGTCACGACCAACAGGCTCTTCGTGAGTGGTGTTCGAGACCTGTCCCAGCAGTGCCAGGGCGACACCGTCATCTCGGTGAGGGGGCGGCTGATCTCTGACCTCTAGACAGGGGTGGCACAGGCAGGCAGCCCCTTGACTATGCCCAGGCCCTGGGAGCAGGTGGGCATCTGTGCTGGGCCGCAGGGGTGGGCGGCTCAGATACCTGTGGGTGGAGGTGCCAGCCACCCTGGGAACACAGCTGTCTCATCTGAGCAAGGGGTCTCCCCTGCCCCGCCTCCCCCTAGGAATGTCTGCAGAGGTTTGGAGACAGCCTGCAGGAGATGGTCAACTACCACATGGTAAGCCCTGGCCACAGTGCGGTGATGTATGGGGGCCTGTCCAAGGGCACATCCCTCTGGCTTCCCATCCCAGGCGCCCCCTC